TTAAATGATTGTCCACTAGGACTCCGAGATCCCTCTCACAGTTACTAGTACTATTATATATTACAATGAAAGAAAATAATTGATATGATATCTGTGGAACAGCCTATCCCCAATAGGATAGGGGAATTCCATCAGCAAAGGAATTTCAAATGGGGGACCCAGAAGTAGATCCTTTTCTGCCATAGTTGTCACCCTTTAGAACATCCCTCCCCTATGTTGTAGCCTTAGGAAAAGTCTTAAAATCTGGCATAGGGTCCTGAAGGAAAAACTGTTGACTGGAGGTGGTTGATGCACTAACAAGTACCTCCCCCTCCAACCAATTGTGTTTAGCTTGTTTTCATTTTTGTAGTTTTTATCTCTTTTATTTTTAAGTGTCAGATGTTTGTGTTTTTTATCTTGTTATAAGTCACTCAGAATTGCCTTGAACCATGACATGGATGGCAAATATATTAGATAGATAGATAGATAGATAGATAGATAGATAGATAGATAGATAGATAGATAGATAGATAGATAGATAGATAGATAGATAGATAGATAGATAGATAGATAGATAGATAGATAGATAGATAGATCTAAAAATCTAGAGTTATAAATTTCTACAGATATAAATTTTAACTGCATTGTTCATGGTGACTTACCATAATTCATCATTATGATGACAGTAATTATTCTGAAAAAAGCCAAGTAGTTGAGGTTTTGCTTTCTATATTTTATATTTCATAACTGTGGGTCTATCATACCTCTTTTCCTCAAATTTTAATATATAAATTATAAAATGAATGAGCATAGTGATTTTGTTAATCTTATTTGAATGTGTTCAATGGATATTTCAGTAACAAATATACAAAAAGTTCTTTTGGGATCAACACTTACAATTAAATTTCAACTACATAAAATTTATGATGGTAAATGCTCCACAAGCTCAATATTTTAAACATCTCACCTTAAAGATCTGGAAAATTTTCAACCTTCATCACTTGCATATGCTTCCATCAACAATCCTTAAAGTAGATATGAAATCGATATGAGATATCCCAGAGTTAAAAAATCATCAAATCACAGCAATAGCATCCCATCACTGGTGTTTGCAAAAAGCCAAACCACATCAACCAATACCAAAACTATTACTCAAACTATTTGGAAAGAATCATGGTTAGAATTATTAGTCATGAGGCTAGAATATATATCAAGGTAAGATATGAGAATAAAACTTAAAGAAATTTTCAGGAAAAAAAAAACTATTGCTCCAAGACAACTTCACAATAACCTTTAAATACTCTGTACAAACAAAGACTCAGAAAAATCTTTCAAAATTAAAAAACTGGTCTGGTCATAATGAATCAATTATGGTATAATAACACTTCAACAAAATGCTGCCTCAAACATTCAAGGAATAGCAAGCTGCCATTTATGGATCTCTATAACACTCTAAAATAAAGATTGCATAGGAAAAATGTGGGCATTAACTATGGTGAAAAAACAAACTAGCATAAAATGAGAAGTTGGCAATATCAGCATGAAGAGCAGTTAAAAAAAAAGAGTCCCTACTGATTTTATTTGCTAATCATTGTGACTACAGAGGGCAGTGCTCATCCCCATTTCAAGTTATTGAACCAGACATTTCCATAGTCCTGTGTCACTTTATTTTCCCACTGAAGTGGTACCCATTTATCTAATTGCATTTGCATGCTTTTTAAATGCTATGTTGGCATGAGCTGGGATAAGGGTGGAACCTCACCCTGTCAGATCTCAAACTGGGCTGTGGGCTTTCCAGCTGACAAGCCCAGTATCTTGACTGCTGAGCCAATGCACAGCCCATCAAGAGCAGTGAAAGCATTTAAACCACAGCCTGTGATGCCCAGTAATTGCCAAATAACTCTCTGAGAATACAGAATAACAGAGTTGGAAGGGATGCTGGAGGTCTTCTAGTCCAACACCCTGCTCAAGCATGAGACCCTGTACTATTCCAGACAAATGGTTGTCCAATCGCTTCTCAAAAACCTCCAGTGATGGAGCACCCACAACATCTGGAGGCAAGCCATTCCACTGCTTAATTGTTCTCAGCGTAAGGAAATTTCTCCTTAATTCTAGGTTGAATCTCTCTTTTATAATCTTCCATCTGTTATTCTTGTCCTATCCTCAGATGCTTTGGAGAATATAAAAATTTAACCAATGGAACTAATTTAGAGAGGTCAAAAGAACAAAACAAAAAGAAATGCCATTTTTTTTCTACTCATCTCATGGTGCTAATTGTTTATTGTGAAATCAGTGAACGTTTGTACATTGTATGTAATCATTGTGTAGATTACGAAATCATTTTTTAATATCATGGCCAGTGTGACAACTTCATTAGTATCTTATTAGAGTTCACATTTAAAAACAGCCAAAAAGTAGAATTTAGTAGATCCTGTTGTAAGAATTTTATGCAGGAAGTCAGATGCCAATTTCTGCAAAGTGAACAAGTCTCAATATAACCTGAACCCAGTATTTAATAATTTGCTCATTGAATGAATATTATTTTTTTCAAATTAATAGCACTTTCCAGAATCTTCAAGCTTACTACACTTTAGATTCAAATTGTTCTTTTTTTGCTTCTGCATTTCGTCTCAGTCTGTTTCAGTACGCAGTGAAGAGTTGCTATCCTATTGCCAGCAAGAAAATTAAAAATTAAAAAGCTATTGTGTGACATCCTGACAAAGGATTGATCATGTGGCCCAACTACAGGTTCATAGTAGTCATTGTAGGACCAAACCTGGGACTGGAACTTCCACTGCTAAGTGAGTTACTCCTGATTTTATGACCCTTTTTGCCATGGTTACTCTGTGAACCACACAGTCATTAAGCAGGTTCCCACATTGCCTTTGTCTGTTGGAATCTGGCTAGGTGATCACCAGTGGAGGTCATGTGATTGCAGGACCCTGAAATCATTATAAATACATACCGGTATCCAAGTGTCTAAATTTTGATCACATGATCCTGAGAATGCTGTGACACTGGAAGTGAAAGGGCTGGGTATAAGTCGATTTTGACAGCATTGTCATAACTTCAAACAGTCATTAAAACAAGCAGTTGTAGGTCAAGGACTACCTGCAGTGCTTATTACAGTTTTCTCATTGTAATAGAGGAGGTATACTGCTGAAGTTTTGTACATTGTATATGATAGGTTAAAAGTTATGTTTATGTAACTGAAAATGGTTAATGAAGCAACTTCATTAAGCAGTTCCTCTTTAAAAATAGCTGCCAAGTGATAACAGTAACAGTAACAGTTATGTATTTTTGAGAAGGCTGGAAATCTGATGCATCTTTCCATAGACAATACTGTGGCAGTAGGCCAGTGTCTACATAAGCAGAAGACAAAATTTAAACAATTTTATAGAAAGCAATTATGCTTGGAAGAGTTAGTGTTAAAAGGAAACAAGGCCACCAAAGAACATGGTGGCTGGACACCATCATAACTGACACCAGCCAGAGCATAGAACAACTCAACAAAGTAGTGCAAGATCAGAAGATGTGGAGAGACATGGCCCAAGAGTCAGACACAACTGAAAGGATATCATCATCATCATCATCATCATCATCATCATCATCATCATCATCATCATGCATATTCACTTCACTGTAATTCCTTTGTTGGTGGTTATGAGCCGTTGAGATGGGCAGCATACAAATTTAAAAACATTATTAATTATACCCTAAAGCAGACTAATGTGATACCTCAGAACTGTTGTTTGTTTGTTTCTGCTTCAGTCCCAACCTGTTTCTATATGCACTGGGAGCTGCCGTCCTGGTACCAGCAAGAAAATCAAGGAAGGGGAGCCCTTTTGTTGCTATGACTGCATTCCATGCCCAGATGGGAAGATTTCAGAGAAGGAGGGTAAGAGATGTTATATTGGCATTTATCTCACACAATGGTAGCAGTTTCCAAATGCAACCTTGCATACCTGAAAGCTTTTTCCCCCAGGTATTTTGTCTTATATTTTGAATGGGATTGAGATTCTGTAGAACAGGTAGTCTTCAAGATACAAACATAATTCAGCCTGCCCATTATGGTTTTAACATTAATTGAAGCAAGTTCAATGAATGAGCCCCATCCCTCCTGTCCCCAATGCATTTGTTATTCGAATGTGGGTGTCATTAAGTGCACTAGAGGTACCTCAGGAGTCAGTGCAGGAAAAGACTACCTGTCTTTGGCCAGCCAAGGTCTCCCCGCATCTACTGAAATATTTCAGGCTCCCCTTCCATCCCTTAAGATCCCCAAAGCTAGAGCCTTCTCCATACCAAGTGCCTATCACCAATCGTGGTCTTTTCATACTCTGGTGAAACTGTTTTCGTTAGATCCTTATCTTCTTAAGCATGTTTCTGNGGGACACAAAAAGCCTTTCCAAGAGCATGGAAGCCTGTAGGAGTGCAATCATGCAGGTGATTTCTCAGGCAAAATACTTTTTCCCACTGACAATGGGGGCCTGCAGAGGTGCGAGATCACCCTTTGCCTTGAGGGGTGCTTCTGTCCCCTTTCCAAAATGCTTTTTCCATGGATGATGGGGCTTGCAGGGACATGAAAATCCTTTTCTAAAGAGTATGGAAGCCTGCAGAGGCGTGATCTTGCACTTCTGCCAGTTTCTGTGCTCTTTGGAAAAGGCTTTTCACATCCCTGCAGCCCCCTCCTTCCATAGGAAAAAGATTTGTAAAGGAGACAAAAGCGTTCAGGGGTGCAATCTCGCACCTCTGCAGGCCCCGCTGTCCAGGTAAAAGCAATCTTGCACCCCTGCAGGCTTCTCTTTGGAAAAGTCTTTTCGCATCCCTGCAGGCCCCTGTCATCCACAGGAAAAGCATTTTGCAACTAGGACAGACGCTTTCAGGGGCATGATCTCGCACTTCTTCAGGCTACCATCCTCCATGGGAAAAGCCTTTTGTGAAGGGGACAGAATCCTGCAGGGGCCTGAACATGTGTAGGAACACAGGATCTAACAATAACACCTTCACCAGAGTCTGAGAAGATGGCCACTTTTCTGCAAAGTGGCCTGAGTTCTGCAGATTTTCCAAAGGTAAGTGAGGTGATGGAATGGGGAGGAGCAGGTGGGCTAGCAAAGCTGACCCAGTGCCTTTGCATACCCTGTGTGTGGGGAAATAGGCAGGGGGCATGTTGGAGTGTCTCTGCAGTCGGTTGTAAGGGCTAATAACTGTCATGGTGCTGAACGTTCATAACTTTTGTACTGGGTTGTAAATACTTTTGGAGGGATGTCATAACTTTGAACCATTGCTAAGTGAACTGTCATAATTCGAGGACTACCTTTACTAGGATTGCAGAAGACAAATCAGGGGAGCATTATTATCCTATCTTGTTGAAATGTATAGATTATATGGAGAACTATATAATTATAGAAAGAATTGGTATTCTAAAGTCTTTTCACAAGTTACGAAATCAAATTCAATATCACCACCATTAAACTGATTGTTTAAAGGATTAGAGCAGACATGTCAAACTCGCGACATCACGTAACGTCATGCGACGTATGGGGAAGGTTTTCCCATTGCCAGCAATGGGGTGGGCACGACTTCTAGATGGCACATCCGGCCTGTGGGCCAGCAGTTTTACACCCCTGGATTAGAGCATTGTTGAAATCTACAGACTAATACTTGTTTAATGAATTGGGCATAAAATGTTCTAAATATTTTTAAAATATGTAAATAATATTATTGATATACTTTATATTCTACAGATGGTCTTGAAATTATTTTATTTTTCAGATACAAATGATTGTTACTTGTGTCCAGAAGGAAGCTATCCAAACAAGAATCAGGATTCCTGTATTCCTAAAACGTTGACATTTTTGTCTTACAAGGAACATTTGGGAATCAGTTTAGTCTTCTTTGTTCTTTTATTGTTTTTGCTCTCAGTGGTGGTGCTTGCAATATTTGTGAAGAACCACAATACTCCTATCATCATTGCCAATAACCGAGACCTCACTTACACTCTCCTCATCTCCCTCCTGCTCTGCTTCCTTTCTGCACTCCTATTCATTGGTCATCCTGAGAAGATGGTATGTCTCCTGCAGCAAACAACTTTTGGGGTTGTATTTGCAGTGGCTGTTTCTTTAGTTTTGGCAAAAACCATCACAGTGGTTCTGGCTTTCCTGGCCACCAAGCCAGGATCCAAGATGCGAATGTTTGTGGGAAAGAGACTGTCCAACTCCATTGTCATTTCCTGTTCTCTTATTCAAATAGGTATTTGCATGACATGGCTAACAACTTCTCCCCCATTCCCAGACACTGACATGGATTCGGTAATTGAAGAAATTATTCTGGAGTGCAATCAAGGTTCTGTGACTATGTTCTACAGTGTCCTAAGCTATTTGGGTTTCTTGGCTGTTATTAGTTTCATAGTTGCCTTCATGGCCAGGAAATTACCTGATACATTCAATGAAGCCAAGTTCATCACTTTCAGCATGTTGGTCTTCTGCAGTGTTTGGATATCCTTTGTTCCAACTTATTTGAGCACCAAGGGGAAGTACATGGTGGTGGTGGAGATATTTTCCATTGTGGCCTCTAGTGCTGGTTTGCTGGGCTGCATCTTTCTTCCTAAATGTTATGTAATTGTTTTAAGGCCTGATTTGAACAACAGGGAAAATTTAATGAAGAGGAAAAAATACTGATTTTGCTTCAGAATGTCCTTTGTGTAGTTTATAATTAAGAAAACAACATCAGCTTTCTCAAGAGTTATAAGGCTGCTTTATCAACTGCTGGTTTCCATGCAGGTATCATTACTTCAGTTCACTAGGAGAGATGTGCAGCAAAATGGTTGTACATGTGCATAAGAGGAGAGAAGAGGTAGCCCCTGACACACCTATGCAAGGCTAAAGATAGCCTTATAATTGGAAAAAGAAGTTTTTCCCACTTATGCTCCATTGTCCAAAACACTTCACCCAAAGGACATGCATAGACATAGCTATTTGCATCCAGTGGAATATCATTTTTAAAACATTTCTTTATTAAATTAAAGAGATAGGGATTTTTTATTTATAAAATACTATTAAGAATTTACTATAGCACTTCCGGTGGTGACATCAGGGTGGTGCGGAGGCAAGAGGACAGTCTCTGTCCCCTAACTTCGTTCTTTCTACGATTGGAGACTCTTCGGGGGCGTAAAGAGCCTGGAGGGCTACGCGTGAGAAAGGTGAAGCTGGAAGAGTAACGAGGTGAGAGGCGATCACCCGTTACAATGAAGGAAACCCCCTAAATCCAGCGTGGAAAATTCTGCCATCAACAGATGGCGGATCAGAGGCCCTGACAAAATCACAGAGGATGTGGAAGCAAAGAAGAGCTTAACAGACTGCGTTAATGAGTGAGTTAAAATAGTCTAAAATATCTCTAAGGAATAATAGAAAAGTCTAAAAAAAAAGATCTACGTGTCTAAGAGGGTGGGTGTTGAAAGAAAGCTCAACTGGTGAGGGAATCCTCAATGCAAGCGGCAACCCAGCAGGAAGAGCCGTGAGTTGACAGATTTAACAACCAGAGGATTAACAGGAGGGTGACATAAAAGAAAGACATTGTGGTAAAAGTTTGAGCGCAAATACAAGGAAGACGGTGGAGGATTAAGGAAGAAAAAGCTGAGAGGTTGTGGCGAGGGTGGCGTTGGTGGAGCCTGTGAGATTAGAGAAGTGAATGGAGAAGATCGAAAAGCAAATACCTGGGAAGGAAAAGAAAATGGCAATTTAAGAGGAACGGAGGAGTGAATACTTTCTGGAGCATTAGAGACCCCTGGAGAAAGTGGTTGGAGAAGAAAGTTGGAGACAGACCTGAACATGGTGAGGTTTTGGAAAGCTGAGGAGACGAGGAGAAAATGCAAAAAGAGAGCGGCGTGCAGTTAAAATCCAGAAAGTGAAAGAGATAGTGAGAGGATGCGACAGGAGACGAAGGCGAAAAGAACAGATTGACGAGGAGAGAGACGAGATTGGAAGGAAAACCCGGAGCCTAATAGGGATGGTGTTTTCAGTTGAGAGAGGCGAGAGAGGAGATGAAAGTGAAAGGAACGGATTGATGGCTGGAGAGACGAAATCAGAAGGAAAATCCAGAGCTTGATAGGGACGACGTCTTCAGTTAAGAGAGGCGAGAGAAAGTGATTTGGATTGAAAGGGGGGATACGGTGACGAGCATGAGAGTGAGCGGAAGGGAAAGAGACAACGAGAGGATGACGTTGGAAGTGACAGGAATGTGGACGAGGCTTGGAAGGCAAAGGAAGAGATAAGAATGGACTAATGATTGATAATAGATGATTGGAGAAGTAATTTGGATTTTTAGAAAAACTGTGTGATAAGTAAGAAAGAGGAAAGAAAGTGAAGGTAAAGAGAGAGTTGGGGAATTGTGGCAGAAGTTTAGAGTCAGAATAAAGTTAAATAAGCTGTTGGCTAAATAGAGTGACATTCAGAAATAGAAAATATTAGAGAAGTAAGGAATAACTATGGCAACACTGAGGACAGGGAAAAAAATGGTGTCAAGTCTAACACTGACACCCTCATCTCCACCTGGTCAAAGAACACTAGAAGGAATGTTTGGTACAGAAAAACAGAGTGTAATAGTTAATATGCAAACCATGCAGACAACACTTCTTACTATTCAAGAAACAATGCTAAAAATGCAGGAGACAATATCTAAAAATCACATAGAAATGAGAGGGGACATGAATAAATTGGATAATAGAATTGAGATGATCCAACAAATGATGGAGAAAAATGAAGCAAGAATTCAGATAGTAGAAGTGGGGTTGGATAAAGTAGGGAAAAAAGTTGATACATTAGATACAGAAATGATGGCAATTAATTAAAAAATGGAGGAATTGATTATCCATCTAGAAATGGATAGGGCGGCATTCTACCTATGATTTCAAAATGTGGTAGAGGAGAAGGAAGAAGATTTGGGTGCTATTATGGTGGATTTGATTGCTGAGGCCCTACAAAGGGACAAACAAGAGATTTTGATAGAAATTGATGAGGCGTATAGAATCCATACAAATTATGCCAGACGCAACAGACTCCCACGAGAAGTACATATTAGATTTGCTAGGAAAAAGGTGAGAGACATAATCTATAAAATCACAAGAGAGGATCCAATGATTTACAAAGGAGTGGAAATGCAAACTTTAAAACAGGTACCAAAAAAGATAAGAGAACAGAGAAGGGAATATAGATTCCTTAGTGCTTATTTAATCAAAAGAAGTATACCGTTCAGATGGTTAATCCCGGAAGGAATGTTAAATATCATGGAGGGAAAGGAGATAGCCTAGAGAAAGATAGATAGCCTAGAGAAAGCACAGGAATTCTATGAACAACTGGAAGGAGTGGAGGAAGAGAATAGCAGCAAGGAAGAATTGGAATCTAAAAGCCAGGAAGACCAACAACAGGAAGTAAGGGAAAGAGAACGAGGGACAGAAAGCAAAGAAGAAAAAGGACAGAGGAAAGAAAAAGGAGTAGGTCCAAGAACAAGACAAACACACAAATAGAACACACAATTAGAAAATGGAAAAAGAGATCAGACTATTATCTATCAATATAAATGGATTAAACTCACCCACAAAAAGAAAACAAATACTAACAAAATTAGCCAAACAACATATAGATATAGTTTGTTTACAAGAAGTACACATCAAAGAACAACATAGGAAATATTTCGAGTTCCCCAAATTAGGAATATTATACACAGCACTAGCTGAACAAAAACAGAGAGGATTAGCGGTTTATATTAGAAAAGAAATTAATACCAAATTGAAGTACCAAGATACAGATGGAAGAATATTAGCAATAGAAGTACAAACTGAACAGAAATCATGGCTGCTAGTGGTAATATATGCACCAAATGAGAACCAAAAAGAATTTTACTACAAATTACATGAGAAACTTATAGAAATTGGACAGGGAAATATTTGTATAGTAGGAGATTACAATGCGATAGTGGATGTAAAAAAAGACTATATTAGTGATATGAAAAAGAAAAAGAAAAGGAAAACACTACCAAGGACATTTTTTGATTTGGCCCATGAATTTAATTTATCAGATCAGTGGAGGAAGCGGAATCAAAAAAAGAAAGAATATACATTCTTCTCGAACCCACATAAATATTGGTCTCGAATAGGCATGGACAAATGAAGAAGTAGGGCAAGATATTGAGACAATAGAAATAATGCCAAATATATGGGCCGACCATAATCCTTTGCAAATAATTTGGAAAGGGCAGAAAAAAGTAAGGAGAAGATGGATAATGAACTCTTATATTTTGAAAGAAAAAGAATTTATAGCAAGGAGTAGAAGGGAAATGGAATTTTTTTTAAGAGAATATGAAACAACAATCATCAGTACAAATTATTTGGGACACAGCGAAAGCATATTTAAGAGGCTTAGTAATAGCTTACACAGAAAAAAAAAAGGTGAAAAGGCAAACACAAAATATACTCCAGGAAGAGATTAAAAAATTGGAATCTAAATTACAAAAAGAGCCCCAAGATGAATCGATTAAAACGGAAATGGTTTTGGCTAAACATAAATTAAATATGATAGAACAAGAGGAAAGAACAAAAGAATTGAAAATAGCAAAACAAAATTTCTTTGAACATGCAAATAAACCTGGGAGATGGCTCTCTTATAAATGAAAAAAAGAGAAAGAGAAAAGAATTATTCAGGAACTACACAAAAAAAATGGAGAGTCACAATATACAATGGTTAAAAAGAAAGAAAGAATTCAGAACTATTTTGAGTCATTATATAAAAAAGAGGAGATAGATGTGGAGAACATTAAACAATATTTAAAGGTGAAGGGCTTGCCAGAATTAAAAGAAGGACAGAGAGAAATATTGAATGGGAAAATAACAGCCTTGAAATTAAAAACTTCTGTGCAAAAACAAAAAAATAATAAAACCCCGGGACCAGATGGCCTTCCAGGGGAAGTATATAAGACTCTTTACGAGGACTTTGAAAAGATATTGTTGGGTGTGTATAATGATGTATTGGAGAAAGCTAAATTACTAGACTCCTGGATAGAAGCCACCATATCCCTGATCCCAAAAGAAGGCACAGACCCCAAACAAATAAAAAATTATAGGCCAATCTCGTTGCTAAACACTGATTATAAAATTTTTACTACCATAATGGCAGAAAGTTTGAAATTAATATTACAGGAGATAATACACCCAGATCAAAATGGCTTTTTACCTACAAGACAAATTAGAAATAATACGAGAACGGTGTTAAATGTCTTAGAATATTACGAAGCACACCCGGGAAAACAGGTAGCACTAATTTTCTTAGATGCGCAGAAAGCATTTGATAGTCTCAGTTGGCAATTTATGTTCCAACAGATTGAGGACATGAAATTTGGAGGGAAATTTGAGAATATGATTAAGGCAATATACAAAACACAAAAGGCCAGCGTGATAATTAATGGAGATAATACCAAAAGTTTTGACATAAATAAAGGGGTAAGACAGGGATGCCCAATGTCATCTCTACTTTTTATTTTGACCTTAGAAGTGCTGCTAACTCAAATTAGAGCCAACAAGGAGATAAAAGGGGTACAGGTTAAGACAGAAGAGTATAAAACACAAGCATTTGCGGACGATTTGGTCTTTTTTATTGAGGAACCAATAGAGAGAGGAAAGATTTTGATG